GCAAGAAGCCAGGTTTGGGTCCAAACGTGTCCACGTGTCTTTGGCTTCAGAGCACCCCTGGGGTGGGGGGTGGGGAGCATCTTATCTTCCAAGTTGAGGCAACCCCTGTTCTGAAGAAGGCCATTCTCTGAAGAAGGGGACAGCTATGGGAAGTTAGCCCTAACCCTAATGGCAGCTGGGGATGGGTGCCCTGGCCTGTCTGAGGGGCTTGGGGGTGGCATCGACAGGATCCGACACCATCCGCCTTTGTCTTCTCCGTGCTCTTCCGATCTACTCGCCTCTCACACTATTTATTCCATCCAGGCACGGTCTCTCTGGGGTTCCGGTTGGTCTCGATTCCTGGACAATTTACAAGAGGAGATTAGCAAGATGGGCAGCCCCCACTGTCTCTGGCCCCGAGTTCACCAGCAACGGTCCTCTCTGTCACCCCTTCCAGATCCCTCACCTCCGGGCCAGGACCTCTGGGTGGCTTGTCTTGTTAAGTGCCCTCGCCCATCAACCTGGTGGGGGCAGGGGGGGGGAGGTTTGAGCCTCTGGTTATCATGAACTTACAAGATAGTTTATACAATAAATGAGATCTTCAAGGTTATTTTCAGAACTGAAAGATTTGCTTCTATCTGGTGGCAACTTTTACTATGAGACAGTCCAAACATGCATCATTTTCTTGCCGAGCGACACTTTTAAAACATGACCTTTGTTTTCAGAAGTCCAGCATTTTCTCTGGGCGATTGGCTCAGCTACTGCTCAGTACAGGGAGACCTCTGGTCCACTCCCGCTGTAGCAGCAGTGTTGCTTATTCCTTATTTCACAGCCTTTTCTCTGAGAACATGAAGTAGAGCAATATGGTGAGCTCTGAATTTTTTTAAATTAGTCTGGAACGTAAGCCTAGTGTGAAGACCACACTTCTCACCATATGATTCTCAAATTCCAGCTTGTCCTCCGGATCCCTCCTCCATTACTAGGCAGTTTATCCTTCCATAAAAGAAATTGATTGCATTTCTTGCTCCAACATATTTTTGCCCATGTGAAGAGTCACCGCTTCTGTCCGAGGTTTACCAGCATCTTTCCTTCTTCTATTCACTGTTGAAGGGCGTCATGAGCCTATGCCCTATCTGTGACTGATTTAAATGCAAACAACAACTTCTTGAAACATTAAATGGCCATCTGGCCTTAGAATGACCTCAAGTCTGACTCAGCCGATGGTTCTTGAGCACCTAGTTGGACTCACATGTTTTTCACAGCTACAGCATGATGTCAGGGTCTATCAGGATTCTAGAACTTGTCCAGTGTCCATATGATGATGGAGGTGCATGGGACTTACAGGAGAGGGAAGAAAGTAGGCAAGTCCACTCTGGTCTGTGAAGAAAGAAATGGTAATGGACCGGTGCCAGCTCCTGGAATGACCTCGCTCAAAGGGATACTTGTTTTATTAAGACAGATTCTCCATAGTTGTTTGTCCCACTCCAGAAATACTTAATCAGAATCTCCATGGAAATATTTAAGATCATCCCGGGGATCTTTATTATCAAAAAGTTTAGGAAACATTGTTTTAAGGGAAAGGTAACATGCAAGGTGTCTTCCAAAGCCTCGCCATACTTAAGTGGTGAGCAAATGTTTTGTGGCTGCCTGGAAAGCTGATTCATGAGAAGACAAGAACACCCCAGAGACACTCAGTATCATGCTTCCTGCTGGGACATCTAGGAAACACACTGTGTGTGGTAAGCCTCCCTCAGGCTCTCCATCATCAAAATGCATCTATCCTGTATAGACTGAATTCAGAACATGCAAATCTGTGAGTTAGCGAGCAGTAGATAGATGCCTCCTGCTTCGTCTTTTTATATTTCTAAATTAGGTCTTCTGGACCTTCAGTTTCCCCTGCCCCAAGTGTCTCCAACAGAGGAAATTCAATCTCATCAATATTTAGGGGCAAGTGAGCCATATGTCAACCCCGAAATCACACAGTATAAGCAAGTATATACAGATTAAAACCAATCACCTCTGTGTCATTTACACATGAATCTAATCTAATGGAATCCTGGAGTCGAACAGGTTCCTATATTCCCATAAAGCACATGGCATTCTCCATGGATTTATTTTTAAGTGCTTTAAAAAAATTTGTTAAAATTTTATTTATTTATCAGAGAGAAGGTATGTGAGAACACAAGAGCAGGGTGAGAGGCAGATCCCGATGTGGGACTCGATCCTGGGACTCCAGGATCGTGACCTGAACTGAAGGTAGATGTCCAACCGACTGAGCCACCCAGGTGTCCCTAAAAGTAATTTTATGTTTAAGTAAGTAGGCGCCACATCCAGCTTGGATGTGGGGTTTCAACTCATGACCCTTGTTATCAAAACCTGAGCTGAGATCAGGAGTCCAACATTTAACTGACTGAGCCAACCAGGCACCAGATCCCCCCCAGGGATATTTAAATTTCTCTTTTAGCAATTGCTATTGTTTTCTCAGTTACTATGGTGTCAAGTGGGATACTAATTTTAGATAGAAATAAGCAGTAGGGACAGATGAGTTCTTGAGAAGAACTATCCCATTTTCATTAAATTCTTACTATCTTGAGTGTCATAGTCACTGCCATTCCTAAGCACTTGCCAGATTATGAACGAAATTTTCTCCAGTTCATAGTTTACTGTCTTGGTAGTACATTGGCCTGGCTTCATCCTCTGTATTATAAAGTTCCCTGTATTTGAGGGTTTTCTCTCTGCTTGACAGCACTCCTTCCCTGATCTCATACTGCTGAATGCAGATTTAACTACATAGGCTCTCATACTCAGATTTCTTCCAGGGCCAGGCACTGAAACAGGCCCTTCGGAGAAGGGGCAAATGCCTGTTGTAAAGGACACACAGGACATCAACCGCTCCTCTCTGTCACGTGGAAATGCATGCCTGACCTGCCCAGATCTTCCTATTTTTCAGGATAAACTGAAAATCTCATGGTTTTCAATGCTGGCAATTGATTTTAATTTGTCAAAAATGTTTTGCAAGTCAAACAACACACACCTGTGAATGGTATTGAACTCCTAGAACAGCAACTCACTTTCACTGAATTACAGCAATAAATCTAGCTACAGAGCCTGTTGGACTTCCCTAATTTTACTAATAAGAAAACGCAAGGGATGATGAGTAGGTAGAGGAATAAAGTGATATTTGGGACATTAAGAATCTGTCGTTTATGATGACTGTCTACTCCCCAAAAATGCCAAGTTCCTACAGATTCCGGGAGGCCTATAGTGAGCTTTTCCATCACTGCTTCGGTCCATGCATTTCCCAAGGCCTTTTTCTTAATTCATGGGGTTGTTTGGCACCTAAATGCGAATTATAGATACTCACACAGCCATAGTTTAATCAGGGATGGATAAGGGTCTGAAATACCTGATTGTGAAGGGTGTTGCTGAGATTACTAAAACTGATGCCCGTTATTACGTCATTCACAAAATTTCTAAATCTTGACTTTATTTCATTAATATGGTTTTCTAACGGATAATTCTGACTCGACGAATTCTTAAAAAAAATGCACAGCTATATATTTTAGAGATACAAAGTGAAATAAAGGAGCATTAAGTCAAACAACTGAGAGCAATGATGTAAGAGGATTAAACAAATGGGTAGTTTTTCTAAACAAATTGCTTATAGATTTATTAATGTTTAAATTGCTTTCCATTTTGTGTTGTGAAGACTATTTTCACATGATTTCTTCATTTGTTGGAAATGTGGGTTTTTATATAGTTGTTCTGAAATTTTCAGATATTTGAAAAAAACTTCTTCCACATGTTTCTGCATTTCTTGAAATGCCAATGTTTTTTAAAATTTCCTTTAAAAAAAAAAAGGTGCTAATGTTGGCCTGAAGTAAATAGATTGTGCCTAGGTTTCTTTTCTCCATGTAACTTAATTAAATATACATAACCAGAATATACATTTTAAAAAAGTGTGCTTATGACTTTACTTTCTTCCCTTGGGCTATAATATTTTCTGAGAGGGGATTGTTCTTTGTTCAGGAGTTCTGATTTCTCTTTTAGGGGAAGCTTCGTTCAGTTTTCTCTCTCCTTCTATGTATGTGCCTATGTGGATGATGTTTAAATCGCTCCTCAGGGTTTCCTCGGTGGGTTACTGCAAGGCAAGATGCCCGTCCCTGGTTGAGCTTTTCAGGGAGCACAGCCCAGAGGAGATGCCCCCCTGGTCTGAGTACGGTGCTCAAGATTGCAAGATTTCCCTAAACCTGGCTGGCGAGAAGCTGCAGAAGTCAGCAGGTGCAGCTCTTGTCCCCATCCCTTACAGTGCACGCAGGTAACCATCAATTTTTGGATGGACATCCCGCCTCAGCCACATAGCGAAAATTTTTAATTTTAAGGGGAACTGGGGACATGTTTAGAAGACGGTTAAGTGTCACCTGTGCACTCATTATTTCGCAATTTCACACTCAAAAGGTGAAACTAGTCGGCATCCTCAGGAACTGTGTCCGGGAAGCCCGGATCACTCACACGCGCTCACACACGCACGCACACGGGCCCTGCGCGTCCCTATGCAGTGTCCTTGCGTGTGCCCCGCGTGTGGCCGGCTCCAGGGCGCTCGGCCGTGGCCGTGGTCAGGCCGAGACCACGAGAGGAGCCGGCGGAGGAGAACCCAGCTGTTGCTGGGAGACGGACTGCCGGCGGCAGCCAGAGAGAAGGAACCTGCGAGCACCGACCCTCCCGCTCCCCGCCGACTGCCGCGCAGCCTCCCCGGCCGTTTCCTCCCTGCCGCCCGCCGCGCCGTCGCAGCCCCTGCGGCAAAGACAACACTGATTTAAAAAAAAAAAAAAAAAAAAAAGCCCAGAGCAAAAAGCCCTGACCCCCACCCCCTCTCCCGCAGGCCCCGCGCCCAGGTGGCAGCCGCGCGCGCCTGCACGCCGAGCGCGGAGCCGCGGCCCCGGCCGGGTGGCGCGCGCCGACGGAGCGCGGGAGGTGAGGGACCGCGTCCCCGCGGGGTGGGCGCCGCGCCTGACCCGCCGCCGCCGCCGCCGCCGCCGCCGCGCCCGCGGCACCATGACCGCTGCGAGCACTGGGGTTACAGGTTGGTCACGGCCGCCTGAGGCCCGGGCGCGCGCAGGTGGCCCTCGCCGGGCGGGGCAGGGCTGGTGGGGGCGGGGGGCGAGGGCCCGGCGTGGGGAGGGGGGAGGGGGAGAGGCGCCCCGCCCCGGGGGGAGGGGGAGGGGCGCCCCGCCCCAAGCCTCCGCGGGGAGTGGGCGCGGGCGGCCACCAGGTCCCTCCCTGCCCCTGTGGCGGGATGCGTTGTCCCCGCCTGGGCTGCGCGCCGGTGGGCGCGGGGAGCCGGGGCCTCCAGAGCCAGGCCTGCCCACGGGCACCCAGGGGCAGGTGGCTCGGGCCGCGGCGGCTGCGCTGCGCGGGGGGCCCCTCCGCCCCTGAGGGCGAGCGTGCCGCGGGTGGGAGCAGCCCTGCTCCAGCAGGTTTCCGAAGGGGCCGGGGCCTTGCGCACCCCACCCGGCTCCTGCGGATGGCTGTGCGCTTGGGAGCCCTCCTTTGATTAACGGGCCTGGTTGAGCCGCTGTCAGGGTGACCACAGGAGCCGGCAAAGCGGGGTCCTGCAAAAGCGACAGCGTTTTGTCATTGAGCCCTTAGGAGACTGGCTCGAATCTCCAGACGGGCCCAGAACCCCCGAACAAGGAGGGGGTTGTCCCTCGGACTCGGAATTTTCCTCATTCCGGATGGTAGATAGCTCTGAACTCAAGTCCTTATACGTTCTTGAAGTATCATAGGATAAATCTTCCAGTGTGACCCATAATTGTTAGGGATTTTATTATCAAGGATGTGTACGCGTCCACGTATGGGTTCAGGCCTCCGGAAGGTTATGGTCTTAATCTCCTGCGTGTAGTCATCAGCTAGGCCCAGATTTCCCTGGTGCTGAAATGGGAGTTGGGGACCAGTGACTGTTGTGTGTAAGAAGGCCAGGGTTGGAGGAGAAGACCTTTAACAGGGAGCAGAAATTAACAGGTGGCTAATCTTAACAGTTTGTGATTCCCATTTTCATAGCTACTACTGTGATTTGATTGGAAATGAAGTCGGAAGGGACAGGTGTACACTCCTGGGCATGCACGTTCATATTTGTTTTATATATAAAAAAAAAAAGTTATGAATTGTCCTCCAAAAATGGTATCAACATTTTAAAGGTTAACTATCATGTTGTTTGATTTTTACCTTCTTCAAAGACCCACGCAAGAAGCTTTTACACCTCAAAGTCTTTGTATGCAAACATTAAACATTTAAACATTTATCCTTTGAATTTCAAAATCATCAGACATGAAAGAAATGACGGAGATGATAGACAAAAAAAGAATAAATGACCGTAGTCCTAATAACTGAACACAAATGATTATAATTTCTATGTATTTGATGTAGTCTTTTTAAAACTACATGACTTCGTATAGTTGGAATCATGGCATCGTACAGTTTTTATACTGGTTTTCCCATTAAATATTTAGCATATTTTAACATATTTAGCATATTTTGCCCCATACAGTATTCTTACTTAACAAATTCTAAATAGCTGTGTAAGACTGTGCACCAGGAATACAACTTCACTTCCGTGGCCACACCTCTGGTCACCAGATATTTGTTGTTTCCAGTTTCTCATCATTACAAATAACATTTCAAAAGTATTTGATAATCAAAATTAAATGATTTGGAAATTTATATTATGGATATACTCTGTGTGTGTATGTGTGTGTGTGTGTATCTCTCTATCTTCAGGTTGTTTTCCTAAAGATATAAATTTGAATAAGATGTTTCTATGTTTCTGCAGTAAATCTGCCTTCTTTTGGTATATGTGGATCACTTTCCCTCTTTTACAGGAATAAAGAAAGATTAAAAAAATATCTTGGACATATAACCTTTGCACTACGTAAAGTCTTGACCTTTAACAAATTCATCTAAAATCAAGATGATAAAATATACTTCTTAGTTTAAAACCATAAGAATGTTGTAAAAGTGGTCAGGTGAAAAGAAAAAAAAAAAGTAAGTAAATGCAAGGTCTTTTAGGAATAATGATTTTTCAGCCCAGGAGTCTAATTCTGGTTTTTGCTTCCTACTCAGACTTCAAATAAATGATCAAAGGACTTTATATAGTGAGACACCTGCAATGGAGGGAAGACCATTTGCTCATGGGGTGTGGACTCTGATGCATTTCTAGTAGATTGGCCACAGATGGAACTGTACAGATGGGACGGATGGCATAACCAAGGTTTAGGCCACAGTTCCTTTTTGACTTGTGCAAAAAGCAAGGAACAGAGCTCCAGGCAGAACTCCTTCATCTGAAAGGCTGAAGTCTAAAGTTGACTCTTGAAGCGGTTTCTCCATGAGACCCAGGGGCTGGCACAGACTTACCAGATGGAATGTGCTCCAAGGACAGGGACTGACCCCATAGTCCAGAGAGGTGCGCGGGACTGGGGCTTCCAGGAAAAGAGTCAGGAGATGTAAAGTCCAAAAATCAGCACACCATGGCCAAGGGAAGCGCGTCTGCAGAGGCTGGGTGGGGGATGTCCCGCCAGTTATGCAAAGGGAAGAGAAGGGGAGACTTTGTTTCAAACAGGATGATGTGTCTGGAAGACAGCCAACAGAGACACACACAGAGTGCTCTCCCAGACCACAAGCCGCGTTCTTAGTGAAATGTGAGCACTGTTTTCTTTTAGATGAAAACAAATAACCCAAATATGCCTATGGAGATGGGTTATAATGGACCGGAAGGACTAACGGAAAGTGGTTAGCATGTTGTTAGAGCCTAGCAAACACTTCGCACCTGAAAAACTGAAAAAAGAAAAATATCCCATCGGTCTTCTGATCAAGTTAAAAAATTATTTACTGGGTGGGCAAAATGGATGAAGGGGCTCAAAAGTATAAATTTCCAGTTAGAAAATAATTAACTCATGGGATGGAAAGAATAGCACGGTGACTGTGGTTAATAATACTGTGTCGTATACTTGAAAGTTGCTGAGAAAGTACATCTTAAAACTTCTCATCACAGGAAAAAATCATAAACTATGGTCATGGGTGTTAACTAGACTGACTGAGGTGATAACAACAACAAAAAGAGAAAGGAAGAAGTGTTTATCTATCTACAAAGAGGACATGCAGACTGCCTTCATATAACCTTTCCAAAACTAAGTATCAGCCAGAAGTAAAATAATATCCTGAAACTGTGTAATTCTGAATAATACCAGAAGATAGTTCTTGCAGGATACTCCTACAGGGTCAAAAATGAAATAGAAAAAAAGAGGAAGACATACACATGAGGCAAGTTAAAGAAAAAGTGGAGGAGAAGAATGTAAGTTACAGAACAGTTGTTTGAAAAGTGATTAGATGAGAAAAAAGGACCTTAAAGCAATAAACGTTACTATCTTTAATAAAGTTATCATTACGAGCCTTCTAGCAATACCAGTGTTCACAGCAATATAATATTTTTAGTTGAAAGTGTTCCTAAGTGTATCTATTTGGGGAGACATGGCTCATAGACGCACTGTTTTCTCAAAGGTTTCTGTGACCTATGATGGGATAAGAAATTAGCATTTCAACCTAGGAAGTAAAGAAAACAACACGACAGAACTAGAAAAGATAAGAAAGGGGGTAAGGTTTAAAAAACACACCTGAATTTGTTATGAAGTAGGAAAGCTTTAGACGTGATAGAAAAGAACCGAAAAGCCGGAGCATTCCAGGGTTTGAGGCACATTAGTGTGTAGCCAGTCCACAGGATCTCAAGAATGCGGTCAAGAAGAAGGAGAAAAATAGCAGTGGGGATCAGTGAAGGAAGGTGCTGGAGAAAATGAGTGTACAGTCTTAAGGATGTGTACCTGGAACCCTACTATGATCATGGAAACCAAGAAGTGGACAGTAGATTTATCAGCAGAACAAATGCTAAGAGATCCTGGTGATCAAATCAGTAGAAGGGAAGGGAGGGCATGGGTGGAAAATAAATCCAGGATTTTAAGTTTGGGTGATTGATTAGAGGTGTTTTTATTTGTTTGTTTGTTTTTTTCTTATTTAGGATGCCTAGACAGAACAACTAACCACTTTCTCTCTGACTGAGCAGTATCTATTGGTTAAATCATTTGCTTCATTATTTTTTTAATCAGTTCTTCTTTGTAGTAATTATGAGATCCATAGGTCAGCTTCGTGGGTCACTTCTGAACTAGGGGAAGGATTTTTTTTAATTACTTAATATTCCTAAAAAGGACAAATTACGGAGGCCTCGATCAGACAAGATACAAATTTGTATCAGACAAGATACAAGTCAGTGATGACTTAAGACACTATTAAATCTATATTATGAAAGTTGAGATTAAAAAAATCCTGGATAATCTAAAATGAGAGAATCTCTCAAGTAGGGAAACTTCCTTAACTATTCCTCCCAGGAGCTAAAATGCAGAGATGAAGAGAAGTATTGTGAGTAATGGATTTAATTTTTAGAAAGAGGGCTTCTTGGATTTGGAAACACCTTTCGTTGAATTAGTCTTTCCATTTCCTTTGATTCGATATGTCAGTACTTTATGGAGGAAAAAAAAATTAAATTCTAGAGAACCTCAAAAAAATGTTCCGGCTGTTTATTAAGTAAAAATTAAAGCAATTTAAAAACCTAATTTGTTGAACTAGACAATTTGTTTTTGCTTTGATTCAAGTAATGAATAGCCATTTTCAACGTATATTCTAGACTAAAATGTTGTAGGAGAAAAGCCAAGTAAAAGAGTTCTTAGTTACTTTCTCATAAGACAAAAACCAAAACCCTATTCTTGTATAGAAAGGATTTTCCATATAGTTTATTTTTTTTTAGTAAATTCTGATGGTTTCTGAGGAAAACTCAAGAATAGAATATACTGTATGTACATATAGTTATAAATCAAAATTTCTGTCTCAGATTTCTATTTTGTTTCAGTTGTTTAGAACTAGTCTTTTCTTATTTTTATCCCCAAACAACCAGTCTTGACGCTGAACTATAAGCTCCAGAGGTACTAAAATGCTCTTCTGAACATCTGGATTATAGTGACCCCATCACTAACGGAGACCACT